CATGTCGTAAATTGTTTTCTTTTTTCCTTGCTTACGATCATTCTGCAATAATTTTGTTCGATAACTGTTGGTCGACTATGTGACTGCTGAATATCCACCTTTCAGGGGTGCATAAAACAAATACTTGACTTGACTTGGGTCGTGCTATTCGCATTGATTTAGCCAAATAGAGACGTCTCATTATGTATATCAGTGGTAATTTTCATTGCAGTGTAACAATTGTGTGGATATAAATGGAAGCGAATATTTGTAATTCCGCACCAACTATTGAATGAGCAAGCTAACAAATCAAACCCACTCATTTATGTTCAATGAAAACGACAATGGTGATTAGTGTATTAATTATACACGATTCTCCGTTGAAGTGAAACCGAACATGGAAGGTACAGCATGGTATCAACTCCTTCAAGTTGGTCTATTAAATGGCGATGTCCGTATCTTTGTCCATGGTGTAGTTCCATAAGTAATTTACTGTTCTCCCAAAGGAACATTGACAAACAGCGATGTTACAACTAAGCATGTCATCGATAGTCCAGTTCTTCGTCGTTCTTGTGTTAGTTCCACAAATTGAAATATATCCTTCAGACCGTATTGAGGAATCTTGCTACGAACAGGGTCCACAACTTTCACAAACCATTGAGCAATTTGCGTTGTTCCATCTGTCACAATGGGAATCTGCAGTGAATTAAACGCGCTTTTCTTTGTATATATGCATGATCGAGTATGCCTTTATTGTGTCGACTTAGTGTGTCAATTTAAATTATAGGCCCCACAATATTATTGCTTCTGGCATATTGGGAAAATAAAATTGGTACATTTACGCCGGAATCAACCACGGGCGAAAGCAATCGTTATTCTGTCGAGTTACCACCTTTGAATTGTTTGATCTGTCGGGCCCACCATTACCTTTAAACCATTTAGTATTTCTTTTCAGATAAGAATTTCATATCGATGATATTCGTTAGAAAGTGAGAAATTTTATCCGGTCAGTTTGTTAAAACTCGCTTCAAACTGGAGGACTAGAACATTCCTCTAAAAACTTGCCCGCTGATTTCTTTCTACTCTCTGACAACTGGAAGTGATATTTTTAGAATTCCATGACAAGCCCATTTTATGGTCTATCGAATTTTCCAGATTGGCTTTACTGTTCGTTTTCTTCCGGATCTTCTTGGTCGAATTTATCTCATCATTCGGGATCTATCGTTTGAAGTGTTGTGTTCAACTGAAGAATGCAACTAACCAGCCTCTGGTTGGTTGAATTCACTTATTAACAGTTGAGAGAATGTGACTGGCCTAAAAATTCACCCCTCGGATGTATAAAGCATTTCTAGGCTTGGCTTTATTGGAATTGCCTGTTCGCATATACCGCTCATACACGAACCACTGGTAACGATCGATTTAGAACTCAGTGTGTTGATTCGACAGAGAAAAAAATACATGTAGTTGTAGCTGAAAGGGTTATAACTACTCTACATGAACTACTGAAGGTTTACGTGGATTGCTTGTCTGACTTAACAGGAAACATTCAACGCTGCTTATCTCAGTATCACTTTTTCTAATTAACAAGTCTGGATTTTCAGTTATCAACAGCGGCCTTACAGAATCTCATATGTTTGAAGTGAAAAGTCAGCCGACCTCGGACAGCGAGCTATTAAATAAAATGTGCACACAAAAATTGCTACGATGATAATCCTGATTCATTCATTGTTTGTTATACATAGATGTAATAGACCAAGAATTAAAAAATACTTCATAACTCAAATGGTAGACTCCAAGCCAAAGTGTTCCATGAAGGTTCTGAAGAATAAGACAAGATCCATCGCCTCCTCGGTTTCTTTTTGATTTGTGTTACTTGTTTGTGTGAAAATCCTATTGCAGAGATATCGAATGCCCTTAAAATGAGGAACTATCCTCGAATTCATTCGAGCTTACATGTTGGGAAGTCGATGTTTCACTTTACTGTACCACATATCACCGTGCCCCTTTTTGTGTTTAAAGGACTGGTACCGTTTTGTGCGTTTATGTGGCCATATGTGCACAAGTTCACGGAGTGTCAAAGCGGCGAAAAAATATGGGACAAATATCATGTTTCTGCCCGGGTGGTAATACCGATAAAAGAGTACCGTGCTATCCAATTTCACTGTTCTCATGATCTGACTAACTAAATAAGATTCTCAGTAAAAGAAAACAATCCCATCGCTCTCCGTCTCTCTCTCTCTCTTACACAGATATTTTCTTACTTGTGACTGCAACATTCGGAAAGCTGTAAAAGTATAGCACAGTTTGAAACCCGTTTGACCCTATTCAGACATATTGGCAAGAATATAAAGCAGGAAAAATTCTGCTCATTGGTCTTATCAACTAACATCTGCACCATACATCTACTATATGAGGGAAACGTCTCATTTAGTTCACATGGTAAATCGATTTTTCCACATCAGCTCACACAGTTTCGCTCGGGAAATAACAACAGAACTTAATAGGCGGATTTTTATTCCACTTTGCACATACCTCGCGATCGGTTACCCAATCAATCTACCCCCCTTCGGGCAAAAGGCTTTCAAGAAACCGGCTGAAGTGAATTCATGGAATTGCAGCTCAGCTCGGTTCGACACAAGTGGTCAATTTCGATGTGTGTCACTGTCGCCAAATAGCACCAAACCGCACAAAAGCACTCCAGAATCTGTCCGTACCTCGGAAGTCTTGTTGGAGATTCAAGGATCGGCCAAAACGGCGAAGATGGAGTAGATGGTTAAGATTTACTGCTTCCATTACGCTGCTGGAAACCAAAGCCTAATGCTGAATTGCGTTATGCTTTTCTTGGAATGTTTGGTGACCTTCGGGTACTCTGTTGTGTTTGTATGTGGACTTGCATTATTGGGCTATTAAGTCGCATCTCCGATCACTCGCTCACCCCACCCCCGCCACACACACACACACACAGTGCTTCGCTCAAAGGCCCATATCACTATCATATTCAACAAAGGCAACTGCCAAACGTGTTTCCATTCATGACAAACACATCTACACACACAAACAGGCCAGTGAATAGGGTGTGCGGTAGCCTCAAACAAATGTGTGCAGAAGATCGTGTACATCTCTGGTAGCTTCAGAATCCCCAAAACTATTTGGACTGTCATAACTCAGTCTCTTTGTGACTATAAAACACATGGATGAAGCCAATCGGACTAATGAAGCAGTGAACACTGTAGGGCCACACAAGTGGTAATCAACACCCGACCGTTTTCAGTCCCTACTATAATGTCGACGTCTTGCTCCGCGCACCACGCAATCCACAGAGTATTTCAGCTCTTCGTCTTTCTATCTTAAAGATGGATGTTTTACACAAATACAAATGCTTTCACCGCCACTTGATTGTTCTAACCAATCTGATTATCTATCTCTCGGTGAATGTAATTGCGGAAATTCTTTCCTTAGTCTGTGAAGAATGATGGAATGCACACTATAACGCACAAATGCTCACTAGTTTTTGTGGAAGAAAAATATCATTGTGCCCTTTATTGACCATCCCCACACACAACTAACATTTGATAGACTCAATGATGCACTCTACAAGGATCCAACCCCAGTTGGCTCATCCAACATTCTAACATTGGGCCCCTCACACGGAAGGTGTGTAGGCGTGTATATTTAAGCGTGATCTCAATAGAGCTATTCAGAATGACCGAGTCGATTTTGTTCATATGTCATCTTTAAGGACGCAGTCAATTCCTACACCCGATATTAACTAAGGTAGGTGCAAAATAGTGTAAGTTAACTCTCATCGAATGTCTTCTACCGGGTAGAAATTTTTATGAGTGCCCGGATGTGTCCGTAGGTAAACTTCCTAGAGTTGATTTTCAAGTTAACCTTACTGATGAGCTCTACAGAGAGACTGAATTGTGGTATTTCAAGCAGTTAGTCTCCGACACTTAAGCATGGACAGATACAGTAAACAGGTTCCACATAGTTTGAGAAATTTCATTCATCCTTTCAGCGGTAGTGAAATTCTCCTTTCAGGATTCACTGTCTCCATACAGCACTCGGGTTCAGGTTGTTCCTCTTTGCGCAAATATGCGTTTCGCTCGTTGAGACTGTTCCCAATCCGCTGAGCTGATATCTATTTCTATCCTTTTTTGAAACGCATGTGTTCTGTTCTTGTTCGATCCACTCTGTGAATAACAAATGGACTTGTCCATGGTATCCCCTCCCACCCCGCATAAAACTGGTAATTCGCAGACCTTGGTGGCGAAAAGTAAGCAGTTCAAATTTGGACTGGAACAAATCACTTGTACACTGCTTACAAGTGATGAAAAGATTTAAATAAATGGCCCAACTTTCTTTTTACAGGTTCCGTAACAAAATCATATGATGCATCATCTCTCTATAGTCCCAAACAATTCACTTTTTACTTTACAGAATTGTAAAACAAAATCGGTTTGTTTTGTAATCTAGTAGACATTTGGAGGAAGTAGTGTTGGGTGTCAACTGTTGCTTAATATTGCTAGGGCTGTCATCTTTTACAATTTGCATAATTTAGCATTGCAATCTGGGATGAATTCGACTGTTGCAATCCATTTTCCACTTGCAAACATGAGTTGTCAAACTGACCGATAATCGAGCCCTCTCCTAAGTTCCATTGTCCGGCGATCGCGAGGGTTTCGTATTATATGATGGTTATCATCCTCAGAGGGGCCATGCGACGATTAATGGTACCGTAGGCACACCAGGCCCGTTACAGGGATGACACGTTCTCCGCCCACTGGTTTCTCGGTCCCGCCCTGCAATCTCTCCTACCAACAGTTACTCTTGGTCGCCTAGCCAACAGTCGTGACAGCATCATCGTCTTGGATGTCGTGATTATCGAAAACGGTAATCCATTTGCGCACCTGAAAATGTCACTGTGACAACAAGTGGACAAACGCACATGGACACTCGTTTTCGCAGGCGTGAATACTATGTGATAATTGCGCAAGATGAATTCACTTGTGCCTATCGTCATGCTTGTGTTCACGCGCGTACCCACGTGCACGGTGGTGAGTGTGACTGGCGTAGACACATTGGCTTCGTACAAGTTTCACGAACCGCCCCCAGTGTGTTACGCCCATCCCAGTTGTAAACTTATCGGAGTGTGGACAAACAGACCGGTAAGTGTAGTAAGCGTGTTCATTCACAACTGTATGCACTTACAGTGTATCACTAACGCACAAACTATTACACATTCATGCATGCAAGCAAGCACGCACGCACGCAGGAACGGATGTGTACACACACATGCACAAGCCTTCACTATTCACCAATCGCTCTACTCTATAGGGTATGGGAAGTGAATGGTTGAGGGGAATTACAATCTCGTGGTTCATTCAATCGACTACAACTGGGACCCGTTTGTTTGTTTGTCTGTTGACACCCCTACGCACGCGCGTAACAGCATCGTTTGGTCTCTCTCTGTCTCTCTTACAGTTTATTTCGCTCACTCCTTCGCTGCTTCAGCCTATCCGATCAGATTCATTCGTACACAAATGCTCTCATTGCACTCATTGATGAGCGGTCCACTAGGCGAACACTGATTTGGGGTTCATTTTATCCGCGCACACCACTCTCACACGTTCGCCATCTTGACGCGTGCACACACATTTACCAATTTGTACATCCGAGCGAGTATACACATCAGCGAACGCACAGATAATAACAA